TTTTGAAATAAATTAAAAATAAAAACCTGTGTTTTCTGAAGCTGGAGAGGTGGTTCATCACCCACTAGGTGGCTGGGTTCCCAGCATCCACATTGCTTCACAACTACCCACAGCTCTAGTTCTAGGGAATTAGCCTTTTTCTCACTCAGTTAACATGCACAGGTTGCACGTATATACATGCAGGCAAAACATTCATATGCACAAAACAAATAAATATACCAAAGCCAAACTCTGTTTCCTAAGTTTACATTTTTTTTTTCTAAGAAATATCAGTTCAAATTCTGGGACTGAATTTCCTTATCCTCATTTACAGAGAAAAATAAGAAACTGAATAAATCAGGCTCAGCAGTTCCATTAACACTGAATTTCCATGATCTGTTAAGTAAAAAAGAAAAAAAATTACCTCAGGCTCCTCATCCAAAGAAAATTCATGCTTTTATATTCCACCATTGTACATTTATGCATAACTTCAACTGCTTTTATTACAACTACTTATATCTATATGTGGTTGGCCATTGTTCTCTTCTATTTCTTCATATAGTGATGGTATGGTTATAATTTATTTAGATTCTTTTATGTGGCCACCAAAATTTATAATGCTAATGATATTATTATACATAATTAAAATAGTCATCTAAATACATTTTGGTAGTGTTATATGGAAAGTTTAACCATGCCTTAAATTTAAGGTAAACACTTATAAATGCATTGATTTTTATATTAAAGCAAAACCCATTGTATAATGGTTTATTATTAGCACTTTAAAGAACTGATGAATATGAGTTAATTTGACACTGTTTTTAACAGTAAGAAGCTTATTTTACAAATGTAGACACTTGAATTCTTAGATGTTTTTCAAGTGAAAATTCAAGAAAGATCTACTGTATGCATGGTCTCATGGTCTTGCTTTCCTCTACACAATATGGTTTTGAAGGAGCCCGGATGTGCCCTAATCCATCAACACAAAATAATACTTCTCTAAAATTCTGCTTTTCATATAAAAATCACTGATTATTACACTTTACATGTTGAAGTTGCTCACACTTTCTACAACTTCTCTACATCACTGGTTTTCCAATCACAATGATTCTTCAGTGAAGACACAGTCTCAGGTTGGAAAAAATCCATGAAGTATCAATTATCATTCACTTACATTTTTTCCTGCAAAATTAAGTGCTTGTTATAAAACTTTAGTAAATGAAGGTTGTCTTCATAAGGACTGAATACGAGTACAGTAGGCCAGTAGCATCCCTCATTCCCACATCTCATACATGAATTCAAGTGAAGAAGCATGAATGAAAGGGAACCCAACTTTGCCATGTCCATTTAGAAAACACAACTAAGTTTGGCTTGTTGGTATAGTTCTGAAATCCTAGCTACTTAGGTGGCTGGGACAGAAGAAGCACAAGTTCAAGGACAACCTGGACAAATTACTAACAAGCTGTCTCAACAATAAAGGAGTAAGGAAAAGAACAAGCTAAAGATACAGCTATGTGATAGAGACATTTTTTAACATGTGCCTAACATATACAAGGTTCAATTACCTGTACAGAAATAAACAATTAATAAACACAGTCAGTGAATATTTTATTTTTACACCTGGTATTTAACATCTATTTTGTACATTGTAAATCTTTGTTTCTAAGTAACTATCTTAATCTATCCAATTTTCTAAAAAATATAGTTATGCCTTGTGTAAGTATATAAATTTATACAAACCCAGATAATTAGGCCCCACTGGGCATAGGAAGTGCTTGAACACTGATAAGGTTGCTGTTCGTTCCTAAATTGAATATTAAGAAGCCAGTGCTATACTTTACTTTTACACTAGCTGTCTTGCTTTAAATTTAGAAAGCCTCAACCCATGTTTGGATGACTGCTTTTGACTGACAGAAGTTGATCATTACATCTTTGTGGGTTTTGTGATGCATCACCCACATCCCATTATATGTCCAAGTGTTAGAAGAGTGGTTATGAACTATGGCTACCTGTTGGAGATACTTACAGAACTAGGTTGCTTATAGATTGAGTCTCAAGCTTTGGAGTTTCTGACTTACTCATACTTACACACACCCTTTGCACAGAAGTCCAGGTGTGCTCCTTTGTGTCACCTTGACACAAACCAGAGTCACCTGGGAAGAGAAAACCTCAACTGAGCAAATGTCTCCAGGAGATTGGCCTGTAGACATGTCTCCAGGGGCATTCTATTGATTCATGGGTAGTATGGAAGTTCCACCCCAGGCAGGTAGGTGTTTCTGGGATGTATAAGAGAGCAGGATCAGCAAGCCATGAGGAACAAACCAGTAAGCAGCATTATTCCTTGGCCTCCATGTTGTTGATTGACTTCCTGAGTTGACTTCCCTCAGTGATGGACAGTCACATAGAAGTATAAGCCAAATAAACCCTTTCTTTGTATAAGTTGGTTTAGTCAATGCTTTATCACAGAAGCAGAAGGCACGCTAAAGCACCAGATTATTCCACAGAGAATTTATGATAGAAAACTACTAAACAGAGTATTTTGGAATAATGACAATTTTTTTATTTATGGTACATTAAAATAAGTTTCTAATAGATTATATGAACATGACTGCATTTAGCTATTAGTTTTTCTCCAAGAATAACACTGATTATGAGGAGAATGATAAAATTATTGCTTTAAAGCTCCACCTACCTCTCTGATCCTAAGATATGATATTGTTGTGTCCATGTTAAATGATGACTTCACATTTTTTTTCACATTTTATGTATTTCATAAAATACACAGTGACTCACTTGCTTTTAAAATGACCCTGTGTGTCTTGGGGAAACACATCCATTAAAAAAAATCTCATCATCTGTATAAACATTCATGAAAATAAACCAGAAGGCTTCGAATAGTAGAATGACATCAAATAATAACATGAACATAATCCATATTGAATTCTTGTGTACTCATGGGGGTGGGGACAAAGAGTTGATGCAAATTGATTGGGAAATACAGGCAGTGATGGCTTCCTGGAAGTACTGTTTCTAGATTCAGAAGTTCAACAACTAGAGCTCTCTGCAAAAGGAGAAAGGAGGAAAAAGTGTTTTAGTCTTGATCATTATGGAAGGCACTGGTGAACTAATTCCAAATTCCAAAGCAGTTTTTCTTTTTTTTTTCTGTGATACAAAGGTAGACTGCAGTGGGAATAGAGAAGATGGGTGGAATCATTTCACATTAAAAGGTGGGGCACTGTTTCCTAGGTGACAGGATCCTTCTCTTGGTGTGGTGAGGAGCTTGAATGGACTATATGAGATGCAGGAGGAAGTGTTGGTATGAGTAGCAACCAAGGGGAAAAAATCATTTTCTATAATGTCCAAGGATAAAATTTAGAAGATCAAGGAAGGATAAGACTTTGCGGAGGTGAGAATGGGCAATTAAGCCAAGTTATCATCAAAGAGAGAGAAAGGTGGTCATTGAGGGAACAGGAGCAGAGCTCAGCCAGTCTTCAAAGGAACGGTGTGTTCTGACCTGCACCCCCTTGGTAACAAGATTTCCAGGGGACTACAGTTGTAATTGAAACAGTGTCAAGGCTGTTGATACCTAACCTCAGTTAGACACTTGGGACTGAGTTAACAGAGCCCCCTCCTGCAGTAAGATAAAAGGATATAAACTAGTCGTTTTAAGAAGTCACCAGGAGGAGGGATATGCTTGCACAAAATTCCCCCTCTCAAGGCTGGGAGCTTGCCCTATAGAGCATTCACAGCTTTCCAAGGACGGAAAGGAGCTTCCCCATGACGACCCAACCGCACAGGTGATTAACTTAATGCAGTATTTTGACCACTGAAGCATTGTTTTTTGTTTTATTGACTTTGTATTATTAGATACATTTAAAAATCTCAAGACTGTCTCTTTTCTGACAGTATTTCAGAATTCTTTCTGTATCCTGATTGCCAAAAAAGAGACTGAAAAAAAGAAGAAAAAAAATGAAGAAAAAAAAAAACTCAGCACTGTTTAAAAGGTAATTAGCACATTCTCAGCTTTTTATAACTTTATAATTGAAATCTCATTAAAAGCTTTCTGGGTCTTCTTTTCCCTAAGTGACTAGGTGTCCCTAATTTGTTCTCAGCCAATGTGACTAATTCCAGACAAAGACTAGAAAAAAGTCCGATACCTGTTGGGGGATAGCAAGGTTAAATAAGTGGGGTGGCTTTTTTAGGTTGCTTTTAACCTCGGGGAAAAAAAAAGAAGAAGAAGAAGAAAACACTAAGGCAGGTGGGGGGACTTCACTGCTTTCTCTGTGAGTCCTGCCTTTCTCAGTCCGGGTGAAGATTCCCAGGGAATTGAGAGCACGGTTTTGTTTCTCCCTTGTATTGCAGATAGGGGGAGGAGGTGGTTATTAGAAGCTCTTCCTCTCTCGGTTCCCTTCTCCGCCTGACAGCACCGCTCTCTTGCGGACTCGCTTCTCCTAGGTGATCCATTTCTAGGCAAC